ATGTTCTAGAAGTTTTTGTTCGCAAAACTAAATAGTAAATAAGCAAATTGAATCGCGTCTAGTGAAAGTTCCAACATGGATGTTACAGTCATGTATGTCTGTTGGGTCAGTTGTTTTAATCTGTAGCCTTCTGTTTTTACAATAATTTAACTTTTTTACGAGATCTGAAAAAATGGCTCAGAAAATAATGCCTATAAGCCACTCGTGTTAGTTTTCCTGAAAAAAACAATAGAACCGTCGTATACTGGGGGGGTATTCCATACATCCCAGACACATTCATCCACAAAACGTTTACCCTTCAAGGGTTTCAGATTCTTGAGTAAGGATTATCTGATCCTCCTCTCCAAAGAATATTGTAGATAGCACGTAGCACCGGGGGATCTGGAATACCCCCCCCCCAAAGGGAGGGGGGTATATACGAAGCAAAGGAACATTCCATGATGCATTTCCGAAAAATAATGTTCTTGATCTCGATAACTCTTTCCCTATAACCTTCAGTAGTCTCATAGGGTTTTTAAAAATTGCAATTGGGCCAGTGTTGAGTAAGCGATGTAAGTTATGGTAAGTTAAGTAAGCTATGGAAGGATACTATTGTAGCGAATATTTCAGAGCGATATCGGGGCGCCATCATTTCGATGAAGGTTTAGTTATCGACGATGAGGAACGAAGGCGGATGTGCCAGAAAATATGGTGTGTTTATTTGAGAATGTTCTAAAAGTTGTTGCTTGCACAACAATAAATAATAAATAGATAGACAGATAATACGTAGATATTTAATCCGTAGCTTTCTGTTCTTCCAATAATTTGACTAATTTGACTTTTGAACTAGACCTGAAAAACGGTTCAGAATATAATTATTTTCCTACAAGCCACAGTATATTCATGGAAGTTTTCATAAAAACGCAATAGAACCCCCGACGACACTTTCCTCTACAAAACGTATAGGCTTTCAAGATAGTTCTTTGGAAAGGATTATCTGATCCTCCTCCTCTCCTAAGTAGTATTGCGGATCACGTAGCACCGGGGGTATATACTCAGCGAAAAATTTTGTTAAAGGCAATTGGCCAATAAACCTTCGTTAAAGTTAAGTTATGGAAGCCTTATTGTAAGCGAATATTCATAGAGCGACATCGGGGCGCCATCAATTCGAATAAAGGTTAGTCGCCGGCGAATCAGGATGTGAAGGTGTGATTGAGAGGGTTCTTTCCTGGAAATATGATGTGGTTTATTTTGAAAAATGTCTAGACGTTTGTTTAACTATATTAAGCAAATTAATCGTTGTTCTAGCTGGAAGTTCCAAGATCGATTTGGGGGGCCGGGGGGCCCCTGTGTTAAAAAAAAATTTGGATATAGCTTCATTAATACTGATAATAGTGAACTGAAAACAGAGCCGTAGCACCGGGCGGGTCTGGGTGCGTATGCCAATTTGGTGGAATGGAATACCCCTCAGCATTGTGACCACTGTTAACTGTGGGGTATTCCGTTACCCCTCAAACCTTCACGGTAATACTTTCCGCGACACGATGTTTACCATTCAATACTTTTACGACAGTCTTAGGAAAGGATGGTCTGATTCTTCTCTCCAAGGCAGTATTTTATAGCGGGGGAGGTGGGGGTCTGTGGGAGGGGTTTATACCAGCAACGGAAGCGTTCTATTTATTGTATAATCCTCAGTGGTCAAGGATTTTTTATAAATTGGCAACCATCGTTAACTAAGCTATAGAAAAGAGTTTATGGTAGCGAATATTCTTAGAGCGACATCGAGGGCTGCCATCAATTCGATAAAGGATAGTCACCGGCAGATAAGGAATGAAGGAGGCATTGTGACGCATTATTTCGGGAAATATAGATGTGTTTTATATTGAGAGTATTCTATAAGTTTTTGTTTGCTAGAAAGACCATTGAATGTTATCCACAACCCCCAGACAAGGAAGACTATAGTACTTTTGTGGTGGTTTTCCTGAAAAGGCAATAAAACCGTTCGTTTTCTGCGGGGGGATATTCAGTACTTCCCAGACCCTTCCGGAATCCTTCGCTCTTAAAAAGTATTGCAGAGCACAGGAACAGGGAAAAAAATGTGGTATTATTTGCGTTTTGCCTGTCCGTCCGTCCGGACCCACTTTTGCTGTTTTGAACTACTTCTAGGGGAATGGTCCTAGAGTCCTGCAATTTTTTGCAGTGGGTAGCGTATACCTTGAAGGTGTGCCAGACGGCCATCAAATTTCGCTATTTTAAGGGGGAGGGGGGGGGGAGGCCATGAATTATGTCCCGAGATGCTGTTTTTGATAGTAAAACGTGCATAACTTTTACATACGTCAACCAATTGGTTTCAGATTTTGCATACGCATGCCTTTAATGGTGCCAACTAAAACTTTTGTAAATTTGGGGGGGGGGGGGATACAAACACGTTCTACCCCATCATACACATGAATGTGGCCTGTAGAATCCATAATTTCAAACAGTTCCAAGATTCGACTACTAGTTCCAAAGTTACAGCCCTTTGAATTTTTTTTCGAAATTTGTTTTTAGTCCATAACTTTTGATTGAGAAGTCTAATCGAAATAGTAAGAATTGTTTTGGATTCTACGCACCAAAATTAATAAGAAAAAGTGTTTTCCCGAGAAATTTTGGTGTAGTCAATTTTTGGTAAAAAGGAAGGTTATACACTGCCTTTTTTTGAGCCCCGAAAAAAAAATTGTCTCAGATCGACCCGGAAAAAAAATTTTCTTATAGAATGTGGCCTGTAGAATCCATAATTTCCAACAGTTCCAAGATTGGGCTACTAGTTCAAAAGTTACAGCCCTTTGAATTTTCTTTCGAAATTGGTTTCTAGTCTATAACTTTTGATTGAGAAGTCTGATCGAAAACGTAAGAATTGTTTTGGATTCTACGCACCAAAATTAATAAGAAAAAGTGTTTTCCCGAGAAATTTTGGTGCAGTCGATTTTTGGTAAAAAAGGAAGGGTATACACTGCCTTTTTTTGAGCCCCGAAAAAAAAATTGTCTCAGATCGACCCGGAAAAAAAATTTTCTTATAGAATGTGGCCTGTAGAATCCATAATTTCAAACAGTTCCAAGATTGGGCTACTAGTTCAAAAGTTACAGCCCTTTGAATTTTCTTTCGAAATTGGTTTCTAGTCTATAACTTTTGATTGAGAAGTCTGATCGAAAAAGTACGAATTGTTTTGGATTCTACGCACCAAAATTAATAAGAAAAAGTGTTTTCCCGAGAAATTTTGGTGTAGTCGATTTTTGGTAAAAAATGAAGGTTATACACTGCCTTTTTTTGAGGCCCGAAAAAAAAATTGTTTCAGATCGACCGGAAAAAAAATTTTCTGATAGAATGTGGCCTGTAGAATCCATAATTTCAAACAGTTCCAAGATTCGGCTATTAGTTCCAAAGTTACAGCCCTTTGAATTTTTTTCGAAATTTGTTTTTTTGTCCATAACTTTTTATTGAGAGGTCTAATCGAAAAAGTACGAATTGTTTTGGATTCTACGCACCAAAATTAATAAGAAAAAGTGTTTTCCCGAGAAATTTTGGTGTAGTCAATTTTTGGTAAAAAACGAACTGCCTTTTTTTGAGGCCCGAACAAAAAATTTGTCTCAGATCGACCCGGAAAAAAATTTTTCTTATAGAATGTGGCCTGTAGAATCCATAATTTCAAACAGTTCCAAGATTGGGCTGCTAATTCAAAAGTTACAGCCCTTTGAATTTTCTTTCGAAATTGGTTTCTAGTCCATAACTTTTGATTGAGAAGTCCAGTGAGCGACGGGGTCTGAGGGGGGGGGAGGGGGGTTAAAACGTATGTTATCTCTCATTGTATTGTAATTAAAGGGGTCGATTAGAAATTAATTTTAACTTTCCTGATATTCTAATTAAAGGTCCTAACGAAAAGAACCGATTTCAACGAACTATCGCCCTTCTTTTTGGCTCCTTATCAAAAGAAGGGGGGTAGGGGAGGTTTTATTTTATCCTTCATGGTAGTCTAATGAAAGGTCTCAACGAAAGGAATTAATTTCTACCAACCATAGTCCTCCTCGACCCCTTATCGTGACCGAATATATTCCCTTATATCTCCAGAACGGATTGTCGGAAGAGGGTACTCACAAAGGGCAAGTGGAACGTCAGGGCGAGACATATCTATTGGTGCTGTCAAAGCTTTTAGTGCAAATATTTGCAGAATGGAGTGTCGAAGGATTTTCAATGTATGCCAAGAGGCCTTTAAATGTTTATGTGTACCTAAGGGCCTCCTCCCCATTAATCATTTACCAAGAAAGTAAACATCGATAGCATGCTACTACCCAACCATTTACTAAACTATTTTGGTTTAAAAAAAAATGCGCAATTGCACCATCCTCAAACAAGCACTGGAAGTTATGGTAATTTCAATAACCTATGGAAAGAGACTATTTGAGCGCATTTCTAGAGCGACATCGAGGCGCCATCAATTCGATAAAGTTTTAATCGTCGATAAGGAATGAGGGCGGATGTGACGCATTCCTTCCGGGAAATATGATGTGTTTATTCGAGTTTTGCCTTTTATACCATTTTTATGTATACTGTTTGCTATGTTTGCATATTAATTACTAAATAGCTATTTCAATTTACGCTGTAATGTACTAACAAACGTTTTAAAAACCAGTTTGATTGTGAAAAATTTTTCAGGCAGTGTCCATTCTCTTCCATGCCGAGCAGGTGCCGTTTCGTTAAAGAAACGAGCCTCCTCAGTTGGGTTACGATAGAATGGTAACACTTTCAAAAGCACGCAAACTAGAAATTATTTAAACAATCTCCAGATGCCGATCCGAGAGACTGTGTAATTCGAGTCGACGTAACAAAATCTTATGTAACGCGTGAAAAACAAAAACAAGGCGGGTCCCGGCGCACTACCTTGAGGCACGCCGAGAAATGCGCGCCAACTAAATTGACGATTATCCAATTGACCTCTGAACCTGCGTGACCCCCGCCAATTTAAAACAATGAAACCGTGACTCACCTTTCTTGCCTAATGTACACGACGTGATTGGAGTCGTTCAGTACCGGTGCGGCCATCATCAACTCGCTATGTGTGAAAATAATTGGTTCATCCGGTAAATCGACCTCTTGCGGTTTCGACTGCTGGAAAAACGATACCCGTACCTTTTCTCTTTCAGTTCTGTAACAATAGTAATAAATGTCAACGTTTCAGTTTAAGACGATTCAGACACCTGCACTTTACCACGGTCATTGATCTGGTTAAAGAGATATCTGGCGAACAATGGGAAGAGGAAGGTGCAACGTACCTCCACCTTCCGACGTTGTACGCGGTGAACTTACTTTTGCCGTAATCTAAAAGTGCAAGTGTTTTATGGTACCTAATCATAATTACTGAAATGAACTGACCTGAATTGAAATTAATAATAGATTTACAGTACATTGTTTTTTAAAAGGAGGTCTTTAGAAACCAACGTGCAAATAAGTATCATTTCCGCACGTTTTTGAAAGACAATACAAGAAGAGTGTTGTAGACAATAGGACATTTTTTGAACTGCTTTTCTACCTGTACTTGTGCATCGTAAAGTATTATTCTTCACGTTTATGCTTTCACACTTGATATTGTACGTGCAATCCGTGGTCGAACTAGTACAAAATCGTTCGAATTATTGCTTCTTATTGAGTATTAATTACATATCCGATTGCCTCCGTGTCAGACGTTAGAATTGCTTACGCAATATTTTATGTGCAGCGCGATTCACTACCACTTTTACTTCATTGTTCCTTTTATTGTCTGTTACAAATTAGCAGAACGCGCCCTTCTGAATTCAGACGGCCGCTAGGACCAGAATTCTAAGGTAAATTTTTCGACGACTCCTTGATTATCGTTTGATTACATACTTCGAATTATTACATTTGTTTGATATTCATTTAACAATTATAGCTCCGTTGTTTTCTCCGGAAGCCTATTTTAATATTAATATTTTCTCAGACTACGCGTTGATCTCTGTTTACTAAAAATCAATTTAAATTCAAACATTTCCTGCAATGTACAGGGTCTCTATTAAAGGTGGAACGGAAGCTCTCGCGCTCAAACTGTTTGAGATATAAACATGAAAATGCTTCCATTTGAAATTGTCACATATTTTGAGGTTAAAAAGAATTTTTTTATACAGGGTGTTCGAATGCGGCTGCCATCTTGAATTTTATTAAATGGAAACATAGTTCAAGTCATCTTACTACCTTAATTATGAATGGTGTTAAATAATAATGCACAAACACCCTGTATAAAAAAATTCTTTTTAACCTCAAAATATATTAAATAATTTCAAATGGAAGCTGTGTTATTTTCATGAGTATATCTAAAACAGTGTGAGCAGGGTTCCGTTTCATCTTTAATAGTGACCCTGTATATTACAGTGACCTTTTGGTAATATTTTTGACATTTACGAGTGTACAGGGTGGTTCAAATTCGTGTCTCTCCATTGGGATCTCCTTAACTGGGAGAGATACAGTGTAGGTTAAATGAGACGTTTGAAATCTTTGAAATCACCAAAAAACTGAAAATGTCAAATTTCGGTCGGAAATGGACGGTTCCCGTTAGCACCTTCTATGGGTACGTTTTTTTCGGAAAATCTGAATCTGTGATCAAAATTTCCACAACGCCCTAGATGTACGACGGTAACGGCCAGATTTTAGGGTTTTTAAAGGAGAAGAAAAACTAGTCATTTTCAGAATTTCTTGTTTTTTATTATCGACCGTCTGCGCACGGGGTAAGGTAACAAGTTTTGTAAGCTTCTCTTTATTTCAGGAATTTTTTGTTCCTATTTTCATTTAATGCGTTTAGTAATAAACCAGCGAATGTCAAGCAAATGTGTGTTTATTCGAATCCATTGTACAAGCTCATCCCGCAAATAATTTTTTTGGCAATTTTTGCAATGAATTTAGAAACAATGACATTTTTGGATTGAGAATGAAGAGACCTTTCATAACAAGCCCATACAATTGGAGGTTCTACAATTTATAATTTAAATTTCAGGATTTCCCGAAATAATGAATTTGTTTCATTTGGCTTGACCACAATGTATATTTCTTAATTTGTCAAAAAAAGTTAGATTTAGATAACTGTAATGACGATGAATGAATGTAATTTCTCATTATGAGAGAAAAAAAAAACGATTGCTTGGGTTCATTACGTGTGGTTTGCAAATAATGATGTGGTCAGATTGTGTGGTAATTATCGCGTATCAAGTGCAACTAGTACGTATAATGATAAAGGAATTATTAAATTGTTTAATTATGAAAAAACGGGTATCAGTAGGTATATTAGAATCTTTTTGAATATCTCTGGTATGTTACATTTTTGAAAAAAGATTTTATTACCCTATCTTTTAACATTAAAATATACAGGGTGTTTCGTTTAAAAAATGGGGTACGATACTTTTTTACCTGCCACCGCATACTTTTGAAAACGGCAGATTATTCACCAATTATAAAGAATCCAATAAACATTTTTCTATATCTTTCTGAATCTCTAAGAAAATATTGAGTCATCCTGGAAGTAATTTTTTTTATTTTCCCCCGTATCTCTTAATGGACCGAACATCGTCAAATTTTGAAAATATACGCTCGCTTAAGAGATACGGGGGAAAATAAAAAAGTTGACAATTTCAGAATGACCCCTATATTTTCTTAGTTGAATGAATGTTTATTACAAAAGTTTGATTGTTGAAAAATCAGCCGTTTTCAAAATAAGTATACGGGGACAGGTAAAATAGTTATCGTCATTTTTTAAATGAAACGCGCTGTATATTTTAATGTAAAAAAATAGGATGCTACATACATTCTCTTTTCAAAAACGTAAAATACCCGGAATGATATCCAGAAATATTAAAAAAAAATTGGGGATTCTAGAAAAGTGTTGAAAATGAGACACCCTATACCTATGGTCAATTGTTTTTCAATTATTTTGATTTTTTTTTAATTTTCATCCATCATATATTTTCAACAATGTGATACTTTCCAAATCCACATTGACAATAGATTTATCGCATACAGGGCGTTCAAAATTTAGTGACCAATTTCACTATTTTCAAAGTCTAAGCAGTTCGTTTTTCCAAATGCGACGCCCTGTATCTTACATGATTCATGATAATCGAAATTTAAATGAAAAGCCGAAGAAAGTTTTTTGTTTTGATTTCTTGTTACGTTCCTATTTTGTTTTTATTTCACCAAATAATATACAGGGTGTCATAAAACAACTTATAGGGAAACCTGTTGAAACAAATCGTTCTCCAAAATGAAATGGGTGTTCCATTAAAAAAAATTACGATAACTTTTTTACCTGGCCCCGTATACTTATTTTGAAAATGGCAGGGCTCTTTCAAAATTTAAAAAAATCAGGATACTTGTTAAAAAACGGTTGGAATAGGAAAACTTGATGAAACAAATCGTTCACAAAAATCCAAAAATAATATATACACATATAGATATAGGGCGATCCGTTTAAAAAATTAAGTTAGGTTCGATAACTAGTTTACCGGAACCCGTATACTTATTTTGAAAATTGCAGGAGTCATTAAAAAAAGTCAATACAATTAAAAACAGTTGGCAATAGGTGCATGGAAACTTGATGAAACAAATCGTGCCCAAAAATGAAATATATATAGGGTGTTCCATTTAAAAAATTAAGTTAAGTTCGGTAACTTTTTAATCTGACCCCGTATACTTATTTTGCAAACAAGGATTATAAAGAAACTTTTGCAATAAACATTTTTTTGTGTCTCTGTTAACTAAGAAAGTATATTCTGAAATATTTTTAGCGCATTTTTTAATAATTAAATGGCAATGGTCCAAGAGTCCTGGAATTTTTTGCAGTAGGTAGCCTATACCTTGATGGTGTGCCAAACGGCCATCAAATTTCGTTGTCTAAAAGGCCCCCCCCCCCCGAATTATTTCCTGAGATGCTGTTTTTGAAAGTAAAACGTGCATAACTTTTACATACGACAATCAATTGGTCTCAGATATGGCATACGCATGCCTTTAGTGGTGCCAAGTTAACGGGGGTGGGGGGTAAATACATGTTCTATCCTTCATGGTATTCTAATCAAAGGTCTCATCGAAATAAATTGTTTGTACAAACTATAACTTTCCCGTGCGACTCTGTATCGAGATCAGCGAGTGACGGGGCCTGAAGGGGGGGGGGGGGGGTTAAAAATTAATTTTATCTCATCGTATTCTAATTAAAGGTCTCAACGAAAGGAACCGTTTTCTATCAACTACTGCCCTTCTTTCTGCCCTCTTATCAAAGTATGGGGTGGAGGAGGGGTAGGGGGGGAGTAGACTAGTTTTATCCTTCATGGTACTCTAATGAAAGATCTCAACGAAAGGAATTAATTTCTACCAACCATAGCCCTCCTCCTCGACCTCTTATCGTGATGGGGTATATTCCCTTATACCTCAAGAACGGATTGTCGGAAGAGAGTACTCACAAAGGGCGATTGAGACGTTTGCTAGAAATATATCCATTGGTGATGTCAAAACAAGTTATTTCGTTTAAAAAAAAAATGCGAAATCACCGAATATTTTAAAAATTTGATAGTATACTAATGCCAATGAGACGAATTCATCTAAAATATGTTCAGGTTGGTGGCACTTCCGATTGTACCGGAAGTTGATGCCAACTTGCTTATTTTAAATGGAACACCCTATATATGATTGTTGTGGGTAAATTTCATTATGAGTTTGATGAGATTTGTCCTCGGGTTTGTCCATCTCTACTGTTAACTTTTTTTAGCGCATTTTTTAAGAAATAAAAAAAGTGCTATTTTTTGTGTTTTATCCGTCCGTCCGTCCGGACCCACTTCAGAGGTTTTGAACTACTTTTAGTCCTAGAGGCCTGGATGTTTTTGCAATAAGTAGCCAATACCTTGAAGGTGTGCCACACGGCCATCAAAGCCCCCCCCCGCGAATGAATTGCACTTTTAGAAAGTAAAATGTGCATAACTTTTAAATGCGACAACCAACTGGTCTTAAATTTTGCAGGGGCATGCCTTTTGTGGTTCACGTAAATTTTTGAAAATGAGGAGGGGGGGGGGAGACGAACACCAGTCCTACCATTCATGGTATTCTAATGAAAGGTCTCATCGAAATGAATTGGTTTGTACAAAGTATAACTCTCAA